ATCTGATTGCCGCGCATGGGACGCGCCTCCTCCGGCGTTGCTACTAAGGCGTGTAGCAGGCGCGTTTTCCAGCAGTCTTCTACAGGCGCGCCGCAGGCGCGTCCTTAGGCGCGTTTTGAGAGGCGCGCATTAGGCGCGCATTGCAAGCGCGGACGATCGGGATCAGGACTTGGCCGCTGACCGCAGGGAGCACGCAGACGATAAAGGACAAAACTTCACAAAACGTTGTCTTGAGGCTATAAGGTGGGTTCTCCGGCGCCGCGCCTCCAGCGCGTTTCCCAGGCGCACTTGCCAGGACCAGGACGAGCGGAACAAGTATAAGGGAAAGCGAGCGAGGCGCGTCGCCAGCGCCCCACCAGGCGCGTCATAACGCAGGCGCTTGCTTGGCCGCGCCCGCCAGGACCAGCAGCGTAACTCCGGGGACAAGGACACTTATAATGCAGGCACTGCGCCCGCCAGGACCAGCAGCGTAACTCCGCGGACAAGGACGCTTGAAAAGGGGGCAAGAACTATGTAGGGGCCCTGGGCGCGTCCTCGGGCGCACTTTTCCCAACGCGCGTTTGTAGGCTGCGTGTCTGTAGGCTTGCTTTCAATAGCACAAGGACGCGGACAAGGACAACGGAAAGGGAGACCACCACGTTGTGAGGCACGTTTGCGAAGCGCGTCCTCAGGCGCACTGGCAGGACAAGGGTACAACGACGTGGATAGTATCGGAAAGGGAAAGGCGCGCTTTTAGGCAGCTCGACTGATTGCATTCTTGGAACGGGCTTCAACTTCTATAAACGCATTGTAGACAGGTCGTTTCGAGCACCTCTATGTGGATCAGCGTGTGTCCAATCACCTGCTGTGACAAAGCTGATGACAGGTTATTCAATGAGGATGCCTTCCATGCCACAGCGTTTGCAACCGTCACGATAAGTATAAAGATTTACCTTCCAATAAATAAGTATACCGTTTGCACAGCGTTATCCGTTTGCACAGCGTTCAAAGAGGATACCTTCCAGTAAGTACACAACGCCACAGTCACGATCTTGCACTGTGGTGTTCATTTTAAGTGGTGCGGTGTATTCTGCCGGATCGTGCTGGGGTGCGCTGCATTGACGTGGCTTTTGCTAATGCCGGATTGTCCTCGCCTCAGATGTGAGTGTGCGTGGCTGTGGCGTGGCTGTTCCGGTGCAGCGATGTGTGGTGAGACGCGTAAACGCCCGAGAGCATTTCAATTTGGGTTAGAAGCCGCTAGGCGTCCTAAAGTTCAAGCTTTGACACATCCATAACTTGGAGCTTAGCAAGTTCTTTTGTCAACATGGACAGGTTTGGGTGGTGTTCTTGTCCTTCGTCAACGCCCTTGTCCACGTTCTTATAGTTAGTCACTTAGCCATCCTATACACATATTGTTGCTTGTTATCGGCGCCAAAAAACACAATCACAAGCATTGAAGACACCCAAAGCGTTCCGCACGCTGATGTATCGTGCAAAACGAAAGTAAATGCCGGAAGGCTCGGCAATGTGGACTGGAAGCTGTGTGTTTACTACTATAACGGGCACATGCCATTTTATGACTTCGTACTCTTCGTGTGCTTGATGCCATATAGTGCTGCTTTGCCGCAGCAAGTTTGTCAGCGTCACTGTAAGTGCTGTTTCACCTTCCATGCCACAGCGTTTGACGGAAGAGGAGACCTTCAAGGTCATCCGCGAGTCAATAATAGTGTACGCTGTAAATATCGCGAATGAGCCGGATGCCGCTGACGAGATGTTGACGCAATTGGCCGACGACTTGGGCAAGATGATCACCGACGAGCTGCTGAAGGCATGCAAAGGCGAACCCGGTGCCAAGAGAAAGAAGAGTGGCCGAAGCGGCTGGGCAGTGTGGCGGGAGAAGAAGAAGGTGGCGAAGCAAGACAAGAAGGTGGCAAAGCAGTGAAGCTTGGACTCAAGGAAAATGGACATGAATGTGTGACCTGCTCTCTCCAGAGTTCTTTGTCTTGGCAACGGGTTTGCGTGCCTTGCCCAACTCATCTGTACTCATCTTACCCCAGTCATCGGCCAAATGCATCAAGATCTCGTCTGCGGCGTCCGGTTCGGCCGCGATATTTACCAAAGACGACCCGCGGATGACGTGGAAGGTCTCCTCTTCCGTGAAGTGCTGTGTGCATGGAGGGTGAAACGGCACTACTTGCTTTTTTGCAGGGTGAAACAACACAGTCGGGTGGTAGCTTGGACACGTTTCAACCTAAGCCAGGAAGGGCCCACGCTGAACTTTTGTTGGGCGCGTTCTTGGAACCGGTCAGCCTCGCAAAATAAGGATGGGGGCAGCTTGCCTTGAAGTGTGTGCCGCTGGGCTCCCAGTCGCGCCGACTTTCCAGGAGAGAAGACAGTGTATTGCAGATATTTCCTCTTTTATGCGTCTGCTGTGCTTCTCGAGTACGTTCAAAGCCATCTCGCCTATTGTGTCTGAAGGCACAGGCTATACTCCATTTTCCCGCGGGCTATTCCTTTTTTTCGCTGCTCGGCTGCAGCAACTGAACCTCGAAGCGGGCGGCCGCGAATGGGCCCCCGTGCAGCTTGGATAGAAGTCCGCACAAGGGACCATGAATTGCTTGCCACTCGTACTTCCAAGCGTCACACCTTTTCCATACCGTTAATGTGCCCAAGGAAACCAACCTGTGGAGCCTGAGAGACGATATGGTCTGAGAGGAACCGAAAGTAAAGGCAAGCGAACGCCCCCCAGAAAAAGAATTTGTGTGGGCAACGAATTTGTGTTCAAAGTAACTTGCTTGGATCTGCTTTATAAGACTACATTTCACGCTCACGCACGCATCAGCCGGCTTTATGCAACGTCGAAAGGCAAGGGAGCCTCGGCCACACTACATGCAACTGCCACCCTCCCTCTTCCGCAACCTCCGGCAAAGCAGCAGCCCAGCCACAGCCAATGAACCTAGAAGCTGGACCGCTCGGCTCAATGAGCTCATGGGCCCTCACAGTCCAAAGCAGATGCACAAATTGTGGGCTTACAGTCGTGCGGGCAAGCGCTTACAGTTCGTTAAAACCCAGAAATTTGTTGCCCACAGCGAGTTCTAATCCTGTAGGGTACTACCTTGTCTGATGTTCGGCTTCAATCCAAGCCACGAAGGGCCCCCTCCTTCTTCGAGCCAGCTTTGAGGTTCGTTGCTTGCGGCTGAACAGCTGCTTTGTTGGAGGCATTGCGGTGGATAAAGGGGTTGCAGTTGGAGTGCTGAGACTCCGATGTGTCGGAGGCCTTGATAAAGCAGGCTGATGCATAGGAGAGCATCTAATGGTCTAAATGAGGTCCAAGGAAGTTCTGATTGAACACAAATTTGTTGCCCGCACAACAATCCTTTATCTGCAGGGTGTTGGCTTGCTTTACTTTCGGTTCCTGTCAGATTAAACCCCCTCTCTATATACAGCAATCCAAAGATTGGGCCTTTGCAGGGATCTTCTGTTTCAAGGGTGCAATGTTTCGTATATGGATTGACGTTGAATGTATATATGAAAGCAGGACTTCAATCCATAAAGCGTCAATATATGGGCAGCGCCTGGTGCACCAAAGCTTCCCGAACGCCCCCGAATAAAAAAGTGCGCTGACGCGGCAAGTGGCACACCCCCTTTCTGCTGCAACCTCCAAATCAGCTGCTCAGCTGCAGCAAATGAACCTCCAAACGGGTCCACTCGGATCAAAAGAATGCATAGGCCCTTCGTGGCTTGGAGTGAGGTTCGCCAGAGCAAGGACATTGCTGTCCATCGTTGTATACGTCAAGCCATATACGAAACATCGCCCCCTACAAACAGAAGATCCCTGCTTGCAAGGACCCAGTCGTTGGAGTGCTCTACATACAGCCGATTTGATATGAGAGGAACCGAAAGTAAAGCTAGCCAACACCCTACAGATAAAGGATTGTGTGGGCAACAATCTGTGTTCAAAGAGATTTTTTTTAGGCCTGATTTGGACCACTAAACGCTCGCTTTATCAAGGCCTCAGACACATATAACAACGTAAACAAAACATCTCAAGGCCTGGAGCCACTTCCCCCTACCGCAATGCTTCCAGAAATGCAGCTGCTCAGCCGCAGCCAATGAACTTCAAAGAAGGCGTGACCCCTTCGTGGCTTGGATTGAAGCCGAACATCAAACAAGGTAACGCCCTACAGCGAGATCTCGCTGAGAGCCACAAATTTCTGTGGTTCAAAGAACTTGCTTGCATCTGCTTTGGACTATTTCATACACCCCTTTTGTTTTTCTTTGCATCTTTTGTGCTTCTGGAGTATGTCAAAAACATATACTGTATACTGTACTCGCCTATTGTGTCTGAAGGCACGGCCTACTCCAGCTGCCACCCTTCCTACTGCCAAAGCCGTGACAAGCAGCTAGCTGCTCAGCATGCCAAAGCTCTGACAAAAGCAGCTGCTCAGCCGCTGCAAGCCTGCTCATGCGCGTGTGTCTGTGATGAGTCGTTCTCAAGCCACAATAGGAAATAATTATGAGAGTTGAAAGGCAGCTAGTGAACATATTTATATATATATATATATGTATGGGAGCAGACACAGACGCATATATAGGAGAGACTCCGTTTCCAAACATTTAAGAAGAGCTTGTGAACAAGTGAGCTTGTGAACAAGTCCCAACTGAAGGCGGTTTCCGCCGCCCACACATGTCCACCTCGAAGTTTCTTTTTTGCCCAAATGGGAGGCCGAGCACCTTGCAAAGCGGTGGGACGTTGTGGCCGCGCTAAGTTCTCAATACCCTCCCCGCCTTGTGCAAGGCGCGGGGGGTAATTTCAATGTCAGCGTGCAAGACAAATACTCTCGAGAGTTTAGTTGAAGTTCTAGCTTGTATTTGCTCAGTGGTTCTTCATTGCAAATACCCCCTCCGCCTTGCGCAAGGCGGGGGGGGGTAATCGCGCATGCGCAGAACATTGGAAATACACTTGCGTTGGCCAGGTTTTGGCTCCACTCACGTTTTGTCTTCGGCTCTCTTGCTTTGTCATGGCTCCGCCAAAGGCGGCAGCCAAGCGCAAACCAGCCGACAAGCGCGGGCTGGACAATGTCGAGGAGAGCCCTGGCAAGAAACAAAAGCCAGATGTGGTGCCCACCGCCAAGGCGGCCTCGTCTCCAGCGAAGGCTTCAACGACATCTCTCAAAGCTCCCACCATCCCATCTTTGGAGGGTTCTGCAGCCATGGGTGCTCACTCGCTGATGAAAGAAGTCGTTCCATGGGCTACTGGACTACTACAAGCAGTTTGGTTTTGTAGTGGGAAAGCCCCTAGCTATGATGTATGCTGTATGGAGTCTTTTATTTTCTTCTCAAGCTCATTTCTAGAGCCTATAGCACTTAAGTTGTTGTGCCTGGTTGGCTGGGTCCCTTCTAGCAGACATAGTTCCCCAAAGCCCGCTTCTTCCCATACCCGGCTACATTCCAGGTTTTGCAGGAGTTGCCAAAGAGCCTTGGGAGTAGCCTTGGGTGTGACGCCAAACATCCTTTGCGGGAGCTTGCGCCGTTGACCGTTCCAAGCAACCGCTCTGGTGGTGGCAAGCTGTCGAATTTCAAAGAGACTTGGAACTCTGAGAACTGCCGGTATGCTATCAAGAACTCGGAGCAGTACGAAGCTGGTGGATCACTGTACTGGCTGCAGCTCGGCTTCTGCTCGGATGGCGTGCTTCTGCTGGAAGAGCCTTCGGTGGAGGAGGTACTGCTGGCAATGGACGCTCTGATGCCGGCAGAAGCATCAAAGCTGTTTTTCCCAGATGCCTTTGCTACCTATGCTTCCGCGAGTGCAGTCACAGGAGACGGCTTTCCCTCAGGCCTGCAGCTGTTGCATCGCCACGTACAAGTGTTTGCGTGGTATACCGCCATGGCCAAAGCTCTTCAGTCCACTGACAGCAGTAGGGTCGAGAAGCTCCACGAGATGGCGTTGACGGCGACCATTCGGGTCCATGCAACTACAGAGGTGCTTCCCGTGAATGTTCTTTCTCTGAGGCTGTCAGAGAAGGCGAAGGTCGAAGACAAAGGTGACAGCTTTGTCCTGTTTGCAAAGAAGGTGTCGCTGATTCGCAGAGAGCACTCCTCGGCGCCCTTCGGTGAGTTTCTGCAGAAGTTGATTGATGAGGGCATCCGCTTCAATGGCAAGCTGGTCCACCGAACGTTGCTCCAGGCCGTTCAGTCTGTAGATTCCTTGCTTACGCCTTCTGCGGAGAAAGTCTTGGGGCAAACACAGCGAGAGTTTGGCCGATCAGTTTGGGCAGAGAGCTACACCAAGTTGGCCCGCGTTTCCCAATCGTGTGTGAAGTATTGCAGCCAGCCGAACAGCAAGCTTGTGGCCAGTGAACTCTTCAAGTTGACGCTCGAGACCTTCGTGATGCAGTTGCGCCGTGGGCTTGTGCCAGCTTCTTTCTTCACGCAGGAGGCCTTGGAGCCAAGGGGGATGCAGTCGGATGGCTGTCCGGCACCTTTTGCAAGCTGGCTTTGCGCCACCAGCTTTTGGACATGGCCGGGCTGTCGGTGAGCCCCTGCAGGCACTTCGAAAGACCAAAGGGCACACTTGACGGATGTCTTGGGCAAAATTGGCACGCCTACGCTCTATGAGCACGAAATTCCTCTGACAGAGACTACAGAGGCGGCTGCAGCGGATGGTGAAGAGTTGACGCAACACGAAGATGCTTTCGCAAAGTTGACCAGCGATCTGCCCAAGCCCTACCGCGCAGTCGCTGAGCTTGTGCAGGGCCTTTGGGAGGGAGACTATGAGAAGGAGATCAAGGAGCTCTTCGCTTCTGACCCGGACGCGCAGAACAGCATTTTGTCGGAGTCCCAGCAGACCAAGAGCAGCAAGCTGTCCAAAGGCTTCCGGGCTGCCGCAGCTGTTCCTCAGTCAGCCTCAGCAAGAGTGAAATATTTCAAGTTCGGAGTGGATCGAAGTTGTTTTCTCCATCCAACTTTTCTTCATGGAAGTGCTGGGGCCGAGTGTAGTTCTTTGATGTTTTATGTGTCCTTTAAAGTGTTCCACCAAACCTTGTCCATGTTCTCATGTCTTTTCTCTGGATGTTTCAAAGTTTAGTACGTTTCTTCCATGTGGCCGGAAAGCAGTGAGGCTTTGTCGCAGGAACATGTATCCTGCAACACTGCCGCTCCACCCGTGAGCCTGCGAGAGCTGGTCCGGAGAAACTCCTATGGAGACGAGGACCGTGAAGCCAGAGAAGTGGAACGCACCAACCTCTGGAAAGAGGCGCAGACTGCCCGCAAAAAGCACATCCAGTTTGGTATTTGGTCAAGCCGCACAGCTGACTCCTTGCAAACTCTCTTCAAGAAGTCTGCCGCCTTTTCTTTCGAGGGCCAGCTCAATGAGACCCACCGCGCCTTCGTGTTTTCTTGCGATTTGTGGTCAGAAGGCCCAGAGGCTTGGTCGAAGCAACAGGCCATTGATGCCCACGACAAGCTGGTTGAGGAGACTTGGAAGTTCTTGCACAGCCAGCAGCAGGAGAGTGATTTTGTGTTGCTCTTTGACGGGTGCATCCGTGGCAACCGCCCGGCGATCGAGAGCAGCAAGTGGCAGTGTCCTGGCGGCGGGGGCCTGTTAGACTTTTGTGCCGCGCGCACGGCAAGCCAGAAGAAGCCCAACGTTCGAGGCAGAAAGGTGTTTGGGGGAGCCCAAGCATTTGAAACATGTTTCGTGCGCTTGGCGGTGCCTCGAGTGCGGCTCTCAGTGAAGGACAGGGAAGACGACTACCTTGTTGAGAAGGAAGACAACTTGGGGACCAACGACCTCACCCTCGTGGGCATACCGCCCCTCAAGAGGGCCCCGCAGTTGCTGTTGAGCGAGAAGAAGTTTCTCGGTAGTCAATACTTAGAGAATTTTGTGCCTTGTAGTTTTTTCAAGCTTACAACAGACTGACACTCAACACTTGAATCTTTCCCTTCAACCCAATTGGCTGCAGGAAGATTTTTTCTGATGCGGCCGTGCCGGACACTTACAAGTCCTCATCGGTGCCGCTCTTCTGGGCAGAGTCCAAGGGAGATGAGTTCTGGTCCACAGTGATCAAGATGCTTGACCTTGGTTGCGTTGTCGACTGCACTCCCGGCAGTGGCACGCTAGCGCGTGTGTGCTTGGAGCAGGAGGTGACGTATTTGGGGATCGTTCGGTCAGATGTGCACCAGTCATTCCTTTGCAATGTCCTTGACAGGCACTGCCTCCGGTGGTGCTGTACAACTCAGACCTCAGCGAGATGATTGAGGAACACTACGCAGATGTTTTGGCCGAGCTGAACCCGCCCGATGTCGAAGGAGAGAACGATGACGAAGGGGATTGAGCGCATTTTAGAACAACATTTTTCCAGAGCCAAAGCAGCCCTTGCTCGCCTCGCGCGGGCGCTGCTTTTCAGAGATGTGGAAACGTTAAGAGGATTTCCCATCCTTTTGCTTGGCAAAAGCTAGGCACCGCAGAGAAGAGAAAAGTTTTTTGTTTAAGCTGGACAGGTCCGTGAGTTTTGGGACGGTCTTCTTTTTTTAACCTGAAATTCTCATTGGTTTGCAACGGCTGCTTGCAGGCAGGGGGCCACCACCTGCTTGGAGGCAGGGGGCCACCACCACAGAGAGAGGGATCTAGTTTTGTTTTCTGTGAAAGCCATCACATCAAACCGCAGGTGCTAAAACAGTCAAATTAACCTGGGCGTTTGATCATGGCGGCGTTTGCTTTTGCAAAGGGGTGGGGCTCGCCCATGTTGAAAAAGGCGGAGTCAGCAAGACAGCGCTGGCTTGAAAATGAAGGCATGACCGCCAGCCCTTTTGCCGCTGGAAAGCTCGATGTTGGCACGGACTGTAGCGGTACAGACTCTCCGCTCTTTGCTTTGCAGGAGCTGAAGATCAGGCACCAGCATCAATACTCTTGTGACTCTGCAGCGCGTTGCCGAGAGTGGATTCGTGCCAGCCACGCCACCCAGTCTTGAAAGACATGTGTCGGCGAGATCACAGGACCCTTCCACCGGTCAGCCTTTACATTTGTGGTTTTCCTTGCCAGCCATGATCTTTGCTGAATTCCAATTCATTGTTCTGGAAAGATAAGCGGTCCAAGCCTTACCAGGCCGGGCAATCTAGGTATGTGTTTCCAGGTGTACAGAAGGTTCTTCAGTGTACAGAAGGTTCTTCATTGGAAACACATTTGCTTGCTTGCTTGCCTGCTTGCTCGCTCGCTCGCTCGCTTGCTCGCTTGCTCGCCTGCTCGCTTGCTCGCTCGCTCGCTGGCTGGCTGGCTGGCTTGCTTGCTTGCTTGCTTGCTATGGTCAAGCTATGGTTTTTTCTACGCAAAGTACTTATCCTTGCACTATATCCCTAAGCCCACTCTTATAAGAGTCTGTCCGAACCCAGGTGTGAAACTATAGGACACTTGCCGTTTTGGATGTATTGCAACGTTCCGTATCGTGGGAGGCCATGCTGGACACTGTGGCTGCTCAGCGACCTGGCCTAGCTATCCTGGAGAATGTTCTTGCCTTTTTTTCGGCTTCAAGGACAAGCTCCAGCAGACCATGCAATCCAAGCTTCCTGGGTATTTCATTTTCTTAGTCCGCATTTGCCCGACGATGGTTGGGCATGCGGTTCGGCGGCCTCGAGTGTATTTTTTGCTGGCTAGAAGAGACATCTGCCTTGTGATGGATGACTCCAACCAACTGCGGCGCTTGCTGCTCCATGTCTTGCAGTCGTTGCACTGCCCTTTGAAGGCACCGTTGGCAGCAAGATTGCTAGGGGCAAAGGATCCGCGGGCGCAAGCTTTCCTTCACCGCCAGACCCGTCAGCGCAAGAGCACGCGCCGCGCGAAAGAAAATGCGGCATACCTGCACAGATTGACCAGTAGAGAGCACGAAGCTTTGAATTCTGTCAAGCATTCGGGTTTGGAGGATGACCTTGTGGCAGATGTGAGCCAGTCTGTGGGGCGTGTGCCTCATGCAAGGGGCGGCCTTTGTCCTACCCTGACACCAGGCTCTAAGTGCATGGTCTTGGCGGTGAAGCGTGCCATCATTCCTGAGGAGAAGCTCCTTCTTGGTGGCATTCCGCTGCGCAGACTCCAAGTCCCAAGTTCTTTGTCGCCTCAGCAAATCGCTTCCTTAGGTGGCAACTTGATGCACTGTGAGGCGATAGCTGCAGCCGTTTTGCTCGGGCTTTCCATCCTCCAAGTGGACAAACTGAGGCCGGGACCGCCACGTTTTCCAGCAGCAGGTCGTGCGAAGATGATTGAGGTAAACCAACTTCTTTCTGCCCAGAATTGCCCCACCAAGACCAACCGCCGGCGAAGAGTCGCGGCAAATCAGCCTTGTACAAAGCAAAAAGTGCCGGATGCAAAGTGCATCGCAGAGGTTTATTTGAGTTCTGAAGGCAGGAAACGGGTGGCGCAGCCACTTTTTTCGTTTTCTGGGAAGAAGGCGCGGAAGTGCCGCAGCATCGCAGATGTGTATAGTGCATGATTCTGTTTGTCGGGTGTTTCCTCCTAAGATGGCCGCCCCTCCCTTAGACTCTAAACCCTTTCTCTGGGACCTGGCGTGGTGCAAGATCACGTTTGGGTGTCCAGGGCTGGCAAAACAAAACGCGCGCCAGTGCACGCGGTGTTCAGAGGCAGAGTGTGAGTAGGAGCTTGTCACTTCTTTTTCTACGGCTGCTGGACCTTTGTGGTGTTTCCCATGTTTCTAGGCCTCTACAGTCTCAAAAAGCTTGTTCTGAGAATGGTTGCCCGCAGGAAAGTTTTGGGGGACAGCAGGGTTTGCGTCGACATCGGCGTCGAGTTTCGTGGAGTTGGAGCCCATCGTGCCAGGTTCTCACTGTTGATGAAGGCGCTTTTTCTTTGGGCGGCCCAGAGAGCCATTAGTTACTTTGAGGGAGGCTTGCGCAGGCTTCTTTCAGTGGCAGATTTGGCAGGCTTGTGTCCGTAAGTGGAAAGGTGCATGATATTTTGAACCTTGATCTAGGTCAGCGCACAAACAGAGAGGAAAGACCCAGTCAGAACAAACGAGCTGTGGAGCTCGATGGTAGACTTTTTCCGAAGAAAGTTTTGGATGACCTTTTTTGGCTGCTTCTCCATTTTCCTGCCCGCCAGGTGCCAGCCAGCTCCGGCCAGCAGTGCACCAAGAGGCGCACACTGGCAAAAGCGTTGCTCTGCTGAGTGTCTCACTTCGCAGAAGCGTTGGAGCCGGAGCCGGTTCTTCATTTTGACTGCTCGTTTCCTCGGATGCTTTGTGCTGCCATCGTATCTCCGCAGGGGGCTCCATAAAGAACCAAAGCATGGGGAACGCGACGTATGAAAAGGGTTTGATAAAATGAGAGCTGTAAGGATGTTCGGTCCATAAGGTGCATGAACATGTATTACCCACATGGTCCCAAATCACAACTACAAGCACTCCCAACTTCTTCTCATGTGGTTCTAGGGGCATGGGGAAACGTAGCTTCTTTGCGCCTGGGGCTATCGCTGCTTGCTACGACACATCTTTTTCAGCTGCCGGGCCACTGTCCAAGAAGGGGAGAACAGAGCAGGGAGCCACTTCTTCCTTGAGTGCCGAGGCTGGCAAACCACGGAAGCCAGCCGCCATCACCAAGGCAAGGGGCACAAGAACCCCCATAGAGTCCCCAGCTGTCAGTGTTGCAAATGCTCAGGGGCAGTGTCGCTTGCCCAAATGTCATCCACGATTCAATAGTCAGTGTGCCCGGTGTATCTTTGGGAAGTTTGGGCCTTCATGGCGACCCAAGCATGGCTGCCTGTTGCATAAAGGCAAAGGCACGGCTATGCGGACAGTTTGGCTCCAAGAGCGGCCACGGACACTGCCAGGTCCATGGGGTCTGGGTTGTGCTATTTGCGCGCAGCTGCAGCATGTGCCATTGGCCGGAGAAGGGTGCCAGACACCTTCGCCGACGATACCAAACAAAGTGGGCACGCTACGAGATTCGGTCTAGGTCGCAAATGCAAGCCGCAGCTGTGTACCAACACTCGCAATCGGCCATCCACAAGTTGGCCTGCGAGGCGTGCCAGAAGCCCAAGCTGCCTTTGACTGAACTGCTTCAGGCCACCCACGAGGACGACCTACTTTTGAAGGGCTCCGTTCCGCAACCTGCAGATTGGCTTTCTGCATGGCGGGCTGTGCGTTCTCCAATTTCCTTTTCCAAGGCAGAGGCACATTCGCAGACGGCCTTCTATGCTGCTGGTGCCTCCGAGCGCGGGATTGGAAGGCGTTGCCCGACCTCAAACAGCGGGCGGGCAAACCATGAAGCCAAACCATTCTTTTATACTTTTCTTTCACAACCTATCAGGTGAGCGCCTCTGGATTTACATCAGTGCTTCCTTCCCCTCCCCTGTTCCACCGTTCTCCATGTCCTCCATGTTCTCCATGTCCTTTGACCAAAAGGGCTTGGACTCTCTATTCTTGTGTAGGCTGCATGTGAGAAGATTGTCTTATGCCAGATTTGATGCTTGGACGACCGCCGCATCATGTGTCACAACACGTGTCCAAAAAGTTGCAAGAGTTGATGCCAGAACAAGCGTCAAAATACACATCAGTTTTTTTGTCAGAACGCTTGTTACATTTTGATGTTAGCAAATATGCCAGACTTGATGCCAGAACAATGCTCAGAGCATTTGTTTATGGATGCCGCTAACGTATCAAGCAGTACGTGCCAGGGGGTGGGATCGCTTGAATTAATCGACGTTCCTTTGCCTAATTGTTTTGTCGAACGCGCAGCCTTATTTTTTGCGCTTATTTTAGAAATGCATAGAAATGACAGAACTTTGCTTCAGCCGAGGAATGTTTCGGGAGATGGTGGGCGTCATGCCCGAAGTCATTCGGGAAACCAAGCGGAAGCACATCTTGGAGGCTGACTCCATTAGCTTAGCTTTGGGTGACAAGGCGCCCTTCCGTGTCATCCGATACCGTTGCAGCAGCGTGGCTGGCCTTTCTTCCATGCCACTGCGCACGCATGAAGGTGTGCTGACTGTGCTACGACATGGGGGTGAGGCTTCGTCAATGACCTGTGAGGCCTTCGATGAAGACTATAGTGAAAGGATAGCGAACTCTGTCGACGCCATCGAGCGCTTGGCTACCTCCTTGGGGGGTTGTGAGCCGGACGAAGCAATCCAGGCCAAGTTCAAGGCGGCGCTGCGCTGCTACGCTTCTGACGGTGGGAAGCCTGTACGTAAATGTGGCCAGCTGCTTCAAGAGCGATTCCCGCACTTGAAGCTGCTGATCCACGACAGGGCTCACATTATCCGACGGGCGGCCCTGCCTTTGACTTTGGAAGAGCGTTTCCCAAAGTTTTGGCACCATGTCTTTGATAAGCGGCACGCAGTCATACCCGACATCCAGAACAGCTCGGAATGGAAGTTGAAGCTGGAGATCATCCAACGGGAGCTGATCCATGATTCGCCCTTGCAGGGGCGCTTGCGCAAAGCCATTCGAACCATCGGTTTTGCCAAACAGCGCTTCGACAGCTATGCAAGTCCTCAAGCCAAGTATGTGGTCCTCCAAGTCCCCATTGCCATTCTGTTGGCCTCTCAGGCTGCAGACCCTAGAAAGGATGGGCGGGTATGGAGAAGGTGCTTGGAAGCCCTGCGCATGATGACAGCCGAGCACACCTTGCTGTCAGGGCTGGCGGCGGACTTCTCAGCTGAGGTCTTGCGATTTGTGCGAGAGCATGACATCCGCGATCACGACATCAGCACCACTTTTTATCAAAAGAGTGAGTTCATCCGCAGGCTTAAAGTGTTGTCGACAAGCTGTTACATAGCAACCTCGTCCTTTTGTTTTTTGCTGCTCTTCGGTGTTTTCCTTGCCCACGATCTGCCACAAGTTGGGAAACTTTGAGGGTGTGATCTTTATTTTGTTTGTTTGGGTTTCGGGCGGTCTAGCGAATTGTCTTCGCTTTTGGCAAAGCCAAGGTTTGAGGAAGGATGGATCCTGCAGCCCGCGCAGAGTGCCGCCACCAGGACAGACGCTCAGACTTTCACCCAGATGGCCGTGACCGGTGCCATGGAGGCAGGCCCGATTCAGTTTGGGGATGAGATGGTCACCCTTTGGGGGCCCTTGGCTCGTGAGGAGTGCCGACAAGTTATGCAAAGGTGCAGAGATGTGGTCTCCAGCACCATTGCACGGGTGGACGCCGAGTTGCATGGCAATGACTTGGACATGGACTTGTTGTTTTGACTTGCGGCTGTGGCTCCGAGCCAAACGCAAAATGGACGTGACTGGCAAGACCGTTGAGTGGCATGGGTTTGAGACTCAGATGCGCAAGCGCATCCGCAGACTTTCCGGCGTGCTCAAAGTTGACCCAGCTTGTTGTGAGCAGGAATTCGTCCAGGTGGCCCTTTTCTTTCTCGAGGACAAGGATGGCATGACGCAGGTGAAACGGGAACAAGACAATCATCTTATGTGGGCGAGGGTGCTTGGCAAAGGAAAACCTGTGCCTTGTGCTGCTTCACTTGAGACTTTGCCAGCTTTGGTTTGTTGGTACCTGAGCATCTTGGACGGCGAGTGTGGCGTCGAGCGAGACCTTGCCTCTTTGCGGCTGTTGTTGCAGGAGCACGAGGGAAGTCTTGACGAGGATGGCCGCTGCGCGGCTGACCTTCTGGAGCTGCACCTTGATGGTCCCAAAACAGAAGCAGAAGTGGCCCTGCGAGCTTCAGTGGAAAGCCTTGAAGAGAGCAAGGCCACGCTTTTGCTGACAGACTTTTCACGCCGGCGCTGTGAAGTGTGGACTCGCTTGTATGGCAAAAGGTTTCGTTCCTATAAGAAAAGAGTGGATGCCGGTGTCAAGCGAAAGCCTCAAGCAGGAACCTTTCAATCCTTGCAAGTTCGACAGAAGATGGCAGTGGCCTTCTTGGATGGGCGTGGTTCCGCCACCAGTGCAACTGAAACTTCCACTCCAACTGTTCTTGGCTACACGCGAGAGAGCCTGCTGAAGGCTCCCCGAGGAGAGAAGCCCACCAACGTGAAATTGGCGAAGTTTCGTGCCCACACCAGCAGCAAGGTGGCCCAACAGTCTCTTTTGCTTGGATGTCACAAGAAAGTTCCCCGCCGAGTGGCGGATGTCTTCGCGAATGTGTTTGCCAAAGCCAAGCCTCACGACGATAGCCTCAGGATCCGCCACACTTGGATGATCTATGATCACACCGGAAGGGTGGTGGACGCTTCTCGGAACTTGCCTGGCAAGTTGGTGCTTCCACGGACGGGGGCAGACGAAACCTCTTTTCAGACTGTGGCAAAGTGCGAAGTGATCCTTGTGGAAAGCCTGCAGGTGATGGAGCAGTGCCGCGGAGAGCCGCTTGTATGTTTGTTTTAGCGTTGTATGTTTTAGCATCTTCTGATTGCCTAATCAAGATCTGCCGGTGCATGTTTTCACAATTTTTTGGAGAGGCAAGAGCGACCCCCACTACATAATCCTATAGACGAATCTTGCGGTTTGATTAGCGATTGTATACTCTCAGGATGGACCTTCTTCAGTTGTACTTGCTGGTTGTTGCACTTGGCAAGGGCCTTTGTTCTCGCTCAGACTGGCTCACTTCATCTCGGTCGTCGAGGGTGCGGTGGTAGAAGCCTGCAGTGCTGCGCCCTGCCACTTTCCACTTCACCCCTTCGTTCCAGGAGGCCAGCAGGAAGACCGTTGCCATGTTCAGGTTCTTGGCAGATAGAAAGGGATCTGCGTGGCAACTTGGCTCGAAATGTGCCAAGGGGGTTCATGAGATAGGGAAGAAAGAAGACCTGATCGCCTTCTTGCAACAAGCTCGAAGGGTTGAGTTGGGCACGGCCGGTGGCCTTCGTGGGCAAGTCCAAGGGAAAAGGAGAGTTGTTTTGCGTGGTATATATATATATACAGGTATATGATATAGTATACATATTTATATTATATACATGATTTATTCCCCCTCAGTTTTGTTGACGCTGAGAAAGATGAACGATATAGAATGGTAGAGGTGATCGCAAAACTGCGGCGTGCGTGCGACAGGGAATCACCGGGAATCATCCGCATGAGGTACCCAATGTCTTACACTCCATGTTTCTTTCCTTATTTTTGCGGTGTCCCTTGCATGTTTCAAAGAAGGTCCACGGCTGAAATGCTTCATTTGTTCTTGAACCACATTGAGCCACTTTGCCAGGCAGCCGCTGTCGCACTGTGGCGGTGTGCCGAAAAAAAGAGATGGAACGTTTCCAGCGGCCGTTTGTTAGACAAATTGACAAATGGCTGAATCCATCAGCCAGTTGCTGCAGCTAGCATCTCTCCATGTTTTGACCGAGAAAGGGTTTCTGTAAATAATTTTGAGCCAGTCGAAAGGTCAAGTCAGCAAGTGTCCACTACCCAAGCCGCAGGGTGATGCGAACTTGAAGGCAGCACCCACCAAAGAACCCAACTCATCACCCTTGAAGACCGCAGCACTCAACCAACCACCAAACTTGAAGACGCAACCAATCCAATCCTGAGCTCATTGTCTTGCGGCGTTTGTTTTTCGAAGCATGCGCCCTAGCTGTGACCAACATCAAGCAAAAGGCAGAACGTGATGACGCGGCAGAGCCAGTTCGGCTCGCTATCGCTGAGAGGAGCTCCCGGTTGGCCGACCAGAAGGCTCGTCTTGTAGGTGTGCACTTCAGCCCCGAGTGTGAACCATCACGCAAGTTGGTTGATACAGTGTGTCAAATGGGGGCTGACCAATCTTTGCAGTGGATCCCATGGGAGCAGCTTACCAGTAGGAGTGCCGAAATCACGCATTCCGAGAAAGATTGGAAGCTGAGTTTCGACTCAAACGGTTCCCTCAAGGTTGCCCAGAAATTCGTTTCGCCCGAAGCCGTTGTGACAGGCGATCTGAAGGTGAAGGCCGCTTTGAATAGGAGGTCACGTGCTTTTGACCTAGCAGCCTTATGCAAATACACGGTGATGGAACAATGGCATGAGCGTGTTTTTGAGATTGTCAATAGGGACCCGCCACCAAATGCCATGCCACTTAGTTTGCAGCAGGTCCGTGAAGCCGATAAGGCATTATTCAGACGCCTCTCTGATTTGACCCGGGGAAATCTGACTCAGGCTGCGGATGGGACTCGGCCGATGGAGGTGCATTTCGAGGCTTGCATGAACCACCCCGAGGTCCAGTTCTGTTTGATTCTGGTGGTCAAAACAAGCCATGCTTCGGCTAGCAGTAGTTCCGTGTCCAAACATCCAAAAGGAAAGGAAAAAGGCAAAAAGTCTCACGTGAAGCAGGACTTCTCGAAGAGCAAAGCGAGCTCTGACATGCAGTTGCCACCTGGATGCAGCCAGCACACCCCTGAGAACAAGCCTATTTGTAATTTGTACAATAGGGGAAAGTGCCAATATGCCAAGGATGGAAAGCGTTGCCGGCGGGGTTTTCATGTGTGCTACAAGTGTTTCAAGCCCCGTCCTTTCCACATTTGTGATCATTCTTGACAACCCACGTCCTCTGGCTACGAGCATGCGTCCATTTCGGATCCCAAGCCAGAGGAGACGCAGCATGCATCCATGTTAGGTCCGCAGCAACAGCCAAAGCGCCAGAGGCATTTTGCTTCAACCAATCCGAATTCGTATAAGCACATCTTAGGAACTCATGTCGAGAACCGTGCCATTTTTGCTGAAGTTTTTGCTGGTTGTGCTCGGTTAAGCCGATTCGCGCAGCAAGCCGGTTTTGTCGCTTTGCCTGTAGACGGTCCTCGGAATGTCCACAAACCTGAGTGCGCCGTTCTTTCTTTAGACCTTTGTGAATCCGATCCACAACAATGCCTGTTGTCGATTTTTCAAGATTTGCAGCCAGCAGCCATCCACTTGGCCCTGCCATGTGGAACTGGAACAAGAGCCAGGGAGAGACCCTTGCCATCGTACTTGCTAAAGCAGAAGGCGCCGAATCCGCGTCCTTTGCGGAGTCAGGAGCACCCACTTGGAGTGCCGCATTTGTCCAAAACCGAGTTGCAAAAAGTAACTAGCGCCAATCGGCTCGCACTGTTTACAGTCCATGTCTTGTTGCAAGCCATGCACACCAATACTGTTGTAACTATCGAGAATCCCTCACGTAGTTGGATGTGGAATGTTTTGGAACACTACGTACACTCCTTGCAGAATCCGGAACTCACAAACTTTTGGGACAGCATGGTCAGCGTCCAGTTTAGCAATTGTGCTCATGGTGGTGAACGGCCCAAAAACACGACCCTTCGATCCACCAGTGACATTTTCCTGCCCTTGGCCCTGCCTTGCCCAGGAAAACATGCGCATAAACCATACACGCTGAAACGTGACGCTGCAAACTGGACTTTTGCCACGGCGGAGGAAAGCGAGTACCCCTCACTCCTCTGCTATCGATTTGTCACCCTTTTGCGCGCCCATTTGGCCCGGAGTGCATTCCGTTTTACGCCTGTGTCCAAAACCCTGAGTGGCCATACACAGACCAAGAAACATCCCACCTTGGTCCCTGAATATCATCGTATTGCCCACTCTCGCCCAGCCACAGGTGCATTTCGAGTGCTTCCTCCACTTCGAGACGGGGGAGTTTCCGGGGAGGAAGTTGGTGAAGTTGGTGAGGCCGGTGCAAACCCTGGTGAGTCAGAAGCTTTTGGGGTTTACCATACCCCTGAGCAATTCATTTTGAAGGCTTTGCAGTGGAACATCCTTATGATGCCCGTTTTGCGGTCGAAGACGTGACCAGAAGGAACTTGTTTGAACTCTTGACGCTAGGCCAGTCCTTTGTAGCACAAGGGAGGCTGGAGTTCGCCAGGAAACTTGCCAAGATGTCCAAAGAGTTGGCAGCCGAAGAAGCTCGCTTCCATGCTTCATTACCCCCTCTCACGCCCAAGTCGTCTTGAAGGGTAAAAGAATTCTCCTATTCAAGCGTCTCTTGAAGGAGTTTGGATGCCCCGACCTAGAGGCCGCCGACTTGATGCTTGGTACTGACCTTGTGGGAGTCCCTTCGAAGTCTCCTTTCTTCGACTGGAAGTTGGTTCCAGGAACAACCACCCCTCATTTTGCCCTGTTGTCTGATCGTTGGCACAGGAAGAAGCTTGAGGCTTTCAACATTCACCAGGACGACCCAGAGCTTGCTCGTGTCCTTTGGGAAACCGCCCTCCAAGAGGTTGAGGCGGAGTACTCCCTGTCCTTACCATGACTTGGCTGAAGTCAAGCGTTTGCTTGGTGTCCAAGACGTGGTGTGTAGCCGAAGGTTTGCCATCCTCCAGGGGGGGAAGGCCAGGGTGATCGACGACCTTAAGCAAAGCGGGGTGAATAAGGCCTTCGCGACGGTTGACCGTCTGAACTTGCACGACATTGATTACATGTCGTCTTTGTGTCACTTCATCACGGCCACCATCCGCCGAGCACTGGACTACCCATCCAGTCTAGTCCAGGTGGTGTTGAGGGATGGTACTGTTTTAGAAGGTGAGCTGCACAGGGATTTCTGCCAGCCGCAGCCGTGGGAGGGTAGGCGCATAGATTTGTCCAAGGCATACAAGCAGTTGCCAGTAAGCGGCGAGTCAAGGAAGTTCTCAGTTCTGCTTGTGCATCATTACCAAACCCAGAAGCCTGTGTATTTCGTGAGCCGTAGTCTTCCTTTCGGGGCGTGTGCCAGCGTGTACTCCTTCAATCGCATTTCGCGAGGGATTTGGCGTATCATGAGTCACGGCTGCAAAGCCCTGGGAGGAGTATACTTCGATGACTTTCCGGTGGTGGAGCCTGCTGCCTTGTGCACTTTAGCGTCACAGTCCTTTGAGGGTTTGTTGAAAGCTTTGGGGTGGGTGTAC